AATATAATATATAAACAGAAACTGCTTGGCCTTCAGTGGGCTAAAATCACTGGCCATCATAGGTAATGTTAAAAATAAGAACCCCTAAAGAACCCTTCAGTAAGCCCTCAACTGTTGCATTGATGTTAGTTGTGTTTCACCACTTATTCATTCAGGTTCTTCTTAGCTTCCCAACCTGTCCGTGTACTGTAGCGTGACTGTTTTGTTTTATCTTTGTATGCAGGTGGAGGCAGCGTCCATGGAGACTGGTGGTCCTCGCTGTTGTGGTGCTCCTGCTGCTGTTAATTATGTATGTGTTAAACATATGAATTAAATAAAGCACAAATTTTGACAATAGTGACTCGAATGTGAATGCTCAACTGTCAGGTGCTATAGGCACCATTCTGTCTGTAGTACACTTTTTTTCTCATCTTGAGCCCCTAAAATTTAGTTTGCATCCATGTTTATGGTCAGAATGTCTTGAAGATGAAGGATGGTTTCAATAAAGATAAATCAGGTAAGATTTCACTGGACTGTCAGAACAAACTCTAAAAACAACACGTAGTTTAAACTGGGATTTAAGGCTGGAGAAAATCACTGGTTACTGTCTTTGTTCTGGACAGCATATCATTTAGGAGTCCTAAGGTAATAATTGCACATCATTCAAGCTCACTGATGATACTGATCTTGTCCAGAGACGACGAGATTCGTGCTGAAAGAGGCAGCATCAAATAAAGGATCACAAAACAGCTGTTGGACTGACCCCTGAAGGTAGATCAGTGGCACTGGTCTGTGTGTTGTATAGTGTACCTAGAAAACCAAAAGATGGGTGGGTGGTATAAAATAATTTCAAAAACTGTCCTAAAGCTGCATGTAGATGCATCCATCCCTGAACTACAGCACTGGAAACACACTACTCATGATTTCAAGCAGGATCTGAATCAATTTTAAATGTGTTTGCAGTGGAAAATTGATAAAATAGTAGTGTTTCATCCACACTGCAATGTGCAGTTGCTAACAGTTCTAAAATCTAATCTTAACGAGCATCACACATGGGTTTCCTGAAGAGGGGAGTTGAGGTGGGCCATGGACTGTCAACCAACCTGTCTGTCAAAGCCTCCGACCCCTCAATAACACATAGCTTTAAGCCTTAATACATCTTAAACAGATGAGCTCTATGACAATGTACCACCTGTACAGCTGTCATAAATAGGTAAATTACCTACAGACAAAAAAAGAGCATTTTTTTGTATCGGGCCAAAACCATGTTTATTTCTGCTGCAAAGTTGGACATTTTAACATGGTGCTCTATGATGGATTGACTCACTTTAGGGGGCAGCCTCAAGTGGAGATTAGAGGAACTGCAGTTTTTGACAGCTCAGCTTCGTTTTTTTAAACCCAGGATGTTTCCTGGGCTGTATGTTAAAAATGACAATGTAAAAAGCAAGACTGGTCACCATCTTAGTTTAGCATTATGGCATGCTAGTTAGCAATAAGACTACAGCTGATGGGAGTGTTATGGTTTTACATGTATATACACATAAGTCAGATTATTATAGAGAAATAGTATATTGTCAGTGATCAATCCAGTAGCTGTTGAGATGTTTCAGTCTGGACCAGTGGTACAAACTAACAACAGTGCAGAATGATCTAAAAATGATGGGCTTGGCATAAAACCGTAAAAGTTTACCTTGAATCAGAAAAGGGGGGCGCATTCTTTAATGGAGCCACTTTATGATAAGGCATGACTTATAAAGGTTTATAAGCTTTGATTAATGTATTTATGAGTGTAGGAAATTTTATAAGTATAAAAGTATAGTCGGATATGCTCGAACAAATCTAGTGAAATGATCCAAGACGACCAGAGTGTATTCATACCCTCCTCGGCTGGGCTCCAGATGAAGGCAGTCTATGCAAATAAGGTCCAATGGTGAGTTTGAGGTAATTGTGTCCATTGGGCACAGACATGCACTGTGGGTTTCTTTTGTTTGATACAGGAGCATTTTCGGAGCACATGGTCTTCAACCTACTGTTTCATATATGGCCAGGGAAACCTCTCCCTGACCAGAGACAGCACCCTCTTAGCACCAATGTGTCCCATATTGTTGTGGAGATGTTTCAACACCATGGGCTTGTTCCTGGCCGGGAGGACAAGTTGTTGTCTTTCACCTGTTCGTCTATACAGAAGTCCAATGTCAATGTCAAAGGTACTCCATTCATGTAAAATTTTCTTTGCTGCTCTACCAACTGTTCCTCATGTGTCACTGGTCATGACTGCATTGTCTCTTTTGGTTTGAAAACTTCACTGACTGCTTGATCTTCACTCTGAGCTTTGACTAGCTCTTCCCTGCTGATGGTCAGAAGTGCTGCAGGAGGTTCTTGGTCAGCACTTGTAGTGAGGGTGAGGGCAGCCATCCAAGCAACACCGTTTTCCTGCACCACTTTAGATCCATTCCATTAGGCTTGCACAAATTCTTGTGACAGTTCTGTGCACACTGCCACATACTTGTCAATGTCAAGGGGCAGACATGACAGCGTGTCGGCATCTGTGTTTGCTTTTCCAGGTCTGTATTTCAGCTCGAACCAAAGGTCAGACAACTCCCCAACCCAGCGGTGCCCAACGTTCATTATGCTTGGCAGTGCTCATAATGTAAGTTAAGTGGTTGTTGTCAGTATAAACAGTGAAGTGTGGGGATAGTGGTCTGGAGCCAGACCCTATAACTCTCAGCTTACCACCCTGTCTTTGATAGAGAACAGCACCCATTCCCAGTTAAAGTTAAAGTCTGGGTATGCTAATACAGGGGGACTGGTGAGCATTGTGATAAGTTGGTCCAGTGCACACTGGTGTTCAGTTGTCCATTCAACAGGGGTCTTAGAAGACAGCTGGGGTCCCTTTGTCTTCACCAAGTTGAGGGACTGCACTGCCTCTAAATCACTTGGATCAATGTGCACACCTTCTGCAGATACAAGGCGATCCACCTACCTCACTTGTCTGCGAAACACCTCACATTTCTTGGGTCTCAACTTAACCCCATGCTGTTGAAGTGTGCTGAGGACTTTGCAAACACCCTCAATGTGCTCCTCAAAGGCCTTTGCATAGCAAGGGATGTCATCCAAGTAGCGGATGCAGCAGTTGTCTCTGAGTGAGTTTAACATCTCTTCCATGCTCCTCTGAAAGGCTGCGGGTGCATTAGAGAGGCCAAAAGGTATTCTCACTCATACATACAGCCCCCTGGGAGTTATAAAGGTTGTGAGATTCCGGGAGCCTTCGGCCACAAACCTTTGATGATACGCCTTTCCTTGGTCGAGGACACTGATCCAAGAGTGGCCCCCAAGGTGTCAGTAAGATCTTGAATCTGAGGCAGAGGGTGCCTGTCAGGGACGGCTTTCTAGTTAAGTAACCTATAATCAATGTACAGGCGTAGTGAACCATCCTTTTTACAGGCACATAAAATAGGAGCTGCATAAGGAGACTTAAACTTGACGATCCATCCTTTCGCCAAGAGATCTTGAATGTACTCCTTTACTTCGGCCACTATTGGTTTCGGGACAGAGGAGTAGGCTTTCTGCACAGGTATGTTGTCTTTGAGGGTTAATGACATCTGCAAAGTTGGGATACAGCCAATATCATCAGGATCTCTTGCGAAAGCTGATGACTCCTCGTACAACATTTTCAGCCTCTTGCTGTTCCTCTGTAAGGTGACTTACATCAATGGGAGGGTGTCACGATGGGGTTGAGATGGTCCCTCAGTTCCTGGGCATCCCTCCACAGCAACCGGTTCGCGTTCCCCTGATGCTTTGGATGTTTTGCACAACCGACAGCTCTGTGGCCAAGTTCACTGCATGAAAAACAGTACTTACAATACTTTAAACCATCCTGCACACATTATTTACATCCATAGCATTTCTCTTTTCTGCCTACTGGGGACTTGTCAGATGGCCAGTGACATCAGTGTCCCTTCTGTACTGTCTCTGTTCATGAATCGACTGGCTTGATGAGCATGTCTATTTTTTCTGACAGCTGTAGTATTGTGTATATTTTGGTTCTCTGTCCACTAGTTTCTTTCTTTGTGGTTGACTGCTCCACAGCTCCTACTTCAGCTGTGTGCCTTTTACGTGGGGTGGATCCTAGCCTATACTGATGCTCACTCTTATCACTAGTTACTGTCATGAGCTGCTTCAGGATAAGCTCATCGGTAATCATATGGTCTGAAAGTAGGGATTTCTGCTCTCTCCGAATGTCATTGTACTTGTGTTCTATTCCCTGATACACAGTATGTAGGAAGACATCGTGTACTGTGTCCGGGCTGTACTTTATCCCATCACCTGGGATAAAGAGTGAGACAGAAAACAAGTAGTTTTTTCTTTCCTCGCTTCTGCCAGTCTTAAGACTGGGCTGCCAAGCACACTAAGCCGTCTTCTAGGAAGGTTGAGCCCCCTAGTGGCCTAATTCTGGGACGACACCCAGAACAGGCTATATACAAAAATTGAAAATGCTCCCGTTCACAGATGTTTTGCATAAAATTTATTATAAAAGAAACAAATTACAAAAAAAATATGATCACACTGTTCTGTGTGTCACACATATGAACAGGTGCCCAACAAGTTGGTACTTGTTAATCAATAGGGAGTAAACCTTTGGACCTATGAGTAAATAAAAAAACAAGTTACACCACTGCAGATTCAACTGCCAAGATCTGATCAAGAACAGACAACTTGTTAGGTTAGTTCAGATTGAGAATGCATGGGAACCAGGTACATTTGTTCTCAGTCACAGTTGGAAATAAGGTTTTCTTTCTTTTCTACAGCTATGGAAACAAATGAAATGGACTACAAATATGGATACTACAGTGTGTCTGAGATGGGAAGATTTGACTTAACAGCCACTGAGATGAACAACAGTAAAGGTCAGCTTATCTGGAACAAGAGAACAGGAGTCTCTGAATTACAAAATGACAGTAAATATCACAGATAGAAAAACCTCTGTGTGTTTTTAGTGTAAGTAATGAAAGAGTTAAGAGGCCAGAGGTACTTATACATCTTTAAGCATTTTTTGTGTGTGTGTGAATGC